GCATGTCTGCCTTCTCCTGGTATATTCATTGTGAGTAGCTCCTTCACCCTCTTATCCAGGTAAATTACATGTTCCACCTAAGGTGAGTTGGATTCACCTTCAACTCTGTGGACAGTTCCAAGAAAACACCTCTGTCAGGACAGTACATAATAATATAACCTTAAAATTCACTTACTTTAAAGGCATCAAACTCATGCTCAAAGTGAAGAAGTACTATACTGAACAATGCTAGACTTCACAAAGTGACTAAATCCCTTTAGGAATGCAGGGAAAGTGGCAGGAGGAAGGGGAGAAAGGTGAGCATTTCACATGGGTAGCTGGAATTGCTCTCAGGAAACATCATTGACTGGATCTGAACATGAGATTCTACATTTCCACTTTAGAAATTAGATTATATGAATACAACCCTGTAAAATAAAAACTGAGGGAAAAAGTTTAGTTCTCTGATTTAAAACAGGAAAGAAAATACTCATAATATAAATAATACCTAAAAACATCTTGGGACAACTGGCAGATATGCACTTGTATTGACACCAGCCAGCTCCTGAGAATCCATAACTGGTTAGGAAAGGGAAATGCATCACCACAAACCCACGCAGGTGAGCCCAGGGCTACAGATACTGCAGCATTGAGCATGAGTCGAGAAAGCACTGCTGGTGTCCCAAGCATTTCTAGAAGAAACAGAGCCTGGGCAAGCAGCCAGCCAGCCAGCCGGCTGCTCAAAAACAGTTTGGGAGGGTTAGCAAGAGCACAGGAAAGATTGAAACGTTGTAGAGCAAACCCTGCCTGGTTCATCACAAGAAGAAACAGGTCCTCTGTACTTGTAAGGTGTCACTCTTGGTGCCCCAAGCCATGTAACGCTTACAGCTCATTTAGAAAACAAACAAGCAGAGATGGCTTGAAAAGCTCAGTTTCTATATATCTTCTTCTAATAACTTTTCAATTTAGTGACAATACTGTGAAATTTTTGGACAGCTGATCTTTTAGCTTTAAAAAAGGAAGAGGATCATACTAATGGAGCCAAACTAGGACACCATGATGTGTTACTGAGACTGATGTTCCTTCCTTTGCTTCCATGGATGCAGTCAGATCACATCGATTGTTCATCATGGAGTAGTGATCCTCAGTCTTCTCAGTCCTGTCAGTACATCTGACTCTGCACTGCAGCCTAAGTTAATCATGTGTTCATTATCCATTTCAGATGTGCTGTGGATATTGTGTTTTTCCTGTCTAAGTACACATTCTAGCTCATAAACTACAAATGTCATGAGGAGACTGGGAGGGACTTTTTATGTCCCTGAATTTCCACAACCACATGGTACCATCCTGTCAGCCTGAAGAAGACATTTTTGGCACATCTGCCTCAAGCACTGCAGAAATATTTATCAAAAATCTAGATGTGTAAAGAGTTCTTCTACAATGGCACGTTCATCTGCTGAGGTGAAGAAAGACAGTTCCCATAGTTACACAATAATCTGGAAGGATTATCATAATCCTAGCTTTTTCTTGTTTTATAGCACTTTTTACAGCCTTCCACCACTCTCCTTCACAACCCTTGGGGAGGACAGCCAGCTCCCTCATCCTCTGCATCCACAAGTAAGAATCTGGCCAAGGACCAAGAACATACTCAAAGCACAATGCCTTCCACCACAGCCTGCAGGCCATGGAGAGCTGACCATGCTTGCTCTGCCCACTCAGTGGAGAAATAGTTTGGATGCTGTCAGGCCAACCAAGATGATAACAAGTTATCCCAAGCGTTTTTATCTTAAGTGGGAAAGCTTTCACAGTACTTTTTTTTTAATATGGTAAAAATCACATTCATAATTCAGAAAGCTGTTAAAAATCTATTGATTAGCTTTAACTTTGATTTTCATCCACAATTTTTAATGACCCGCTCCAGCTCTGACAACACACCTAGATTGCATACTTCAGAAGTTCTCTTCATCTGCCTCAGATTTGATTTCTAGATCAATAAATTTTCTGTTGAATTCTGATACAGAAAACCGTGAGTACCCAAACTAATGAGTATCTCTTTGGTCAGGGCAGCAGATCTTCATCATACAGTACAGTTCAAAAGCCCCTTCACAAATCTACTATTTTCACGTAAATTCCTTCCAACAACTTCTCATTTGGCAATACCAATTCCACCAGCCAGACTCTTCTAAAACAATAACTGGAAAATGAGACATAGTTGGTAGTACAGTGCAAACCAAAAGGGCTGTTCAAAGGAGAAAACATCAGAAGTTGGCAAGGTGGCAGATGCATCTGCTGACTTAAACCAGATTCAGTCAACAAAAGTTTGCAATGAAAAAAATCAAAGTAGGACACTTCAAGTTCAGTATTGTTTCAGCCTCGATGGCTGATGCAAAAGTCAGAAGACCACAAGATGTCAAACCACCTTCAAAAGCAAGCACTTCAAAAACAAATACTAGGAATTGAATTAATCAAGTTTACAATGTAAAATTCTAACACTTGTTAGTTGACAGCTCAGTTGTGAGAGAGATCCACCATCCTTATCTCCTGAATAACCTAGAAAATGTAGTGGAAATACTCAGGTCAACTGAAGAAAACTAGGTGTGAAGTAAAAATCAGACATAGAAAAACAGTTGACAATAGCTTTGTCCATGACTTTATTCACATCCAAATGTCAATAAACCCAAGAAAAGCATACAGCCCAGTTGTCTCTAAGCATGTCTTGCTGGCAACTCATTGCTCCAAGGACTCTTCAATACTCCTTGCAAAAAATAAGAAATAAAGGGAGAGACAATCACAAGCAGTATTAACTTCTGTGGTTACTTGCTTATTATTTCTGCCCACACAGCAGTGGCTTTTGGAGAAACATTGGTATAATTCCTTTGAGTTCGTGTAATTCTATTGATAATCTGTTTTATACACTCACCCCACAAGAAAGAAAGAAACTGAGATGGAGGGAAAGGGTAGAGATGGAACATGGTACCCAAGGGACTGGAGTTCAATTTGTTGTTCCAAAACAGATTTACTGCACAATCTCAGGGAAATCTTTACAGCCTAAAGGTATCGAGGCAATGCTTCCTGCAGGAAGACTTCAGTGACCTGCGCAAAAAAAACACATATCTGCACTGCAACATCTACCATGTACATACACCCAGGAGGAAGCAGTGATCCATTTCCAAATGTATTAGCATAACCACAGAAGTTGTAATTCCATGTGAAAATCATTCAGATTAGAATGTGGCACCTCCCAGCCCAGACCAACTCTCCAGCTTCTTCTAATGGAAACAAGAGCACTGGAAAAGGCAGGCACATGGGTTGGGCATACATGTTGAAAACTACAGATCCTTTGGTAGTTTTCTGGATTCCAGTCTTTTATGAGTGCATTTATTATTGCATTGAGGCCTGGCTTCACAACTTTGTATTTGAGACGTAACAAATGTGAAAAAAAAGCAGTAATTCATAAAGCCTTTCATTTATATCTTCATTTTATAAATCATTCTCATTCTTTGTCATTTTTACATGCAACATGAGGCCTTGGACCTTTAGAGTCTCGTCCAAAGTTTGGCTTTAATTCCTGTTCTGTTTTATCATAACTCTTTTGTCTAAATATAAGGAGCCCACATTCAGGCAAACACTGGAAGAAAGCAAGAACAAGCTCCCCCCCTGCCCTTACAGTCAACACCTGTGCTGAGGAGAAGAACACAAGGTGAGGAGTAGCCATCAACAAGATCTTCCTCCACCTTTCAGCACAGATGAACAAGGAAGAAGAACTTTTGCTCTGCCCCAGTTTTAAAAGTAAATCTTGAGCAAGTAGATTTGCCTTACACAAAATGATCTCTGCTAGACACAAGGAGAGCACAGAACTTTTGCTTCCCCCCCGAGGCAGAACTGCAGGCTCACACTCTGCTCTCTGACTGGCTCTTCTTGCTCAGTCCTGGTGCTTTGCTTACCCTCAGCCAGCTGTCCACATCAAACAACTGCAGCATTAAAACCTGCTTCTCAAAACAGGAATGCACATGGCTAGGAGAAACCACAGGAAAGGAAAGACTAAGGGGAAAAGTATTTGATTCCCTTCCATTCTCAGATAGCCAACATGCTATCTCCATACATGTCATCTTCTTGGCACAGCAAATGAACAACTTCCTATGACTAAATAAATAGAAATACAACTGACTCCTACTGGCTCTTTATGCAGAGGCAGAATGCATTACAATTAAGCAATCTCAAAATTACAAACTCTAAAGGCTAGAGCAAGGAAATACAGGCTGGATAAACTGGTCATTATAAAAGAAAATATAGCCCCTTTCTCACTAAACAAATTGCTGTGCAGTAATTACTGTTCAAATGACAGTGTGACAGTTTAGGATGTCAGGGACAAACAGTGATAATCTGAGTGCTGAACATGCACTCCAGAACAGAAAGCTGCAGCCAGTTTTAAAGCACACAGCTTTGACAAATGTATCACAGGGGGCTGTTTTGCTCGTAAAACTCAAAGTCTTCTGCAACTTTTCATCAATCACTTGATTAGGCAATGAAACTCACCAAGTGAAATATCCAAGCAAACAGACTCTGAATAAATTTAAATTTTCCAGGACAAAACCATATTTTACCTATCAAATGTGTTTCCAAGGTAGTCCAGCCCATTATTTGGGATTAACTCTTTTTAACCCTTACCCTTGCAGGCTGTAAGTGAGAAGTGGAAGCGGATGCTGAGAACTTGCCACTTAACCTTCTGCTTTAGAGCATCAGAGCCCTCAAGTAACTTTACCACAAATCAGCATAAATGCTGGTTTCAGCTGCTCTGTTCCAGAGTAGCTACCTCAGAGCATGTGCTCAAACTTCTAGTGCCACTGTCTGTAAAGCAGCGCTTGGTGCAGCACAGCTATTCCCACACAAGGGAACATTAGTTAATTTGCATTCACAGTTACCATATGAGGTGTGAGTTTCTGACAGTCCACACATTTTATATTTAAAGACTGTAGGAAATTAATATAATTATCTTTGATATAATAACAAAAGTAACTTACCAGTCCATCGCAATTGCTGATAGCAACAGAAGCGTTTGGCAGATCAGTGATATCCCCAACATAGAGGCAATTCCCATAGAGAGGTTCAATATGAGTCTCCTCAGAGTCCTCCTGCCACTCAACTGTTGCTCCAGGGGCCACGAGCCTGGAGTTTGGCCGCAACCTGAAGTGAAACTCTCTTCCAAAAACAGTGACATTGTAAAATATCTGCTCATTTGCTGCTTCATGTTGCAAGTCCTCCACAGCTCTCCTGAAGCGTGCTTTTGGCGGTCCAGACACCAAGTGGGATAGGAACCTGCCCTCTGAATCGGTGCTTGTGGGGATGACAAGGCTGTACTCCTCTATATTCCTCAGGATTGAATCTTTACAGGGAGAAAGCAAGAGAGGACAGAGATACTAGAACTAAACGTATCCTGATGCCGCGGGATTTTTATTCCATTATTCATTAGCACAGCAGACACTTACATAAGGCAGATGGACACTGCACTCTTTGCAGGCACTTGGCTCACCTGCATGAAGTGTGCAGAGTTCACTCAAACTTGCCTTTTCTTCCCCAAAATACCAGACGGCAGCGTGAGCCTCCCCACCCCGCCAGGACCCCGCACTCTGCCCCTGCAGCGAGGTCCCGCTCCCCTTTGCCCGCCCAGCCCGGACCCCGCACCCCTGCACGCCCATTTAGTGACCAGGTCGCCTCGGGGACTTTGGGGGTTTCCCGGGTGGCCAGCTCTGAAGAGAGGGCGTTGATTTACTTCGGGACTGCTCGCAGGGGCAGGGGTAGGGGCTGGGTTTGCAGGTGGTAAGCCTGCAAGGCAAAGGCACGTCCCCCAAACTACCCCCGGTGCGGCGGGTTTGAGTCGAGCGGTGATGGGGACGCCGCGGGCAGCGATCGGGAGCGGTCTCAGTGGGGACCCCGGGAGTTTCGGACGGAGGAGATGCCCGGGCAAGAGGAAGAGGAGGCAGAGGAGCTGCCATGTGTTTCAGCCCGCACGGGGAGCCCCAGGCACCGCTCCCTGCCCGCCGGGGCGGCGCGGGGCTGCGGGCAGCGCTGTCACTGCCGGGCGCTCCCGGCTCCCTTCCCCGCCGGCGGCGCGGCTGCCCGGTCCCCGTCCCCGCCTGCCGCTCGCAGGAAACAACTGGAAACCCGGCAAAAGTAGCCGCAGAAGAAGTTCAAGGGGAGCCGAAAGCCGCGGGGCGGCGAGCCGCTACTTGGGACGGGCGGGCTGCGGGCACCGGCGGGGCAGGGCCAGGAGCCCCGAAGGCGTCCCGGCGGAGACCTTACCTCTGTCCCCGGGGCGCCGCAGGGCGCCGGCGGGCAGGGCGAGCGCGCAGCAGAGCAGGAGGCAGGCGATGCCCGCGGGAGGGTCCATCGCGGCGGTCCCGGCCCGAAGCGGGGGCCGGCGCCCGGGCTGCCCGCAGCCGGGGCGGGCCAGGCGGCAGCCCCGCTCCGCTCCTCTCAGCGCTGCCCCGCGCCCCGCCGCCCGCGCATTCGCCCAGCCGCAGCCGCAGCGGCAGTGGCGGCCGCGCTCCCGGCTCGCAGCGAAGCAGAGACACCAGGAGGCGGCGGGGGTATAGTACTGGAAGCACAGGGCGTGCGGAGTGAAGTCAGGCTGATTGACAGAGGCGCTGCCACACGGCGCAGCCCGGCCGCGGGGAGCGGGGACGGGCCGCGGGCAGCGGGGACGGGACCGCCCGCCCCGCCGGGGCAGCCCCCGCGCCGCCCCCGCCGCGCCCCGGGCAGCCCCGGCCGGCAGCGCCCGCCCCGCGCCGCGCCCCGCTCCGGGACGGGCCCGCCGGCGCCGACGGGAGTTGGCAGAACGCGGGGGAAGCGCAAAGAAACGCCCCGCGCCGGGCTCGGGAGCCCCCGGGAACCGGGGCAGAGTCCCGCGGGCTGCGCCGTCCCGGCTGTGCATCCATATGGAAACGACCAGAGACAGGCGAGGCTGACAAACTTAAGGCACCTCGGCCTGAGTTGTGTTGCACTCCTGGTTTACAGTTGACAGCAGGGACCCAAATGGAAAAAGTGCCACCAGCAGAGGCAAATCACGGTCAGAGATCTTCATCTGATCCAATAAATTACTCTAAGCAGCCATTTCACAGGAAAAATTGTCAGGGCTATTTGCTAATAAGACTGAAATCGCTTCCTGCAATCTTACGTTAAATATCTGCAACTGGAGAGATAGACCTTGAAAGTCTTTAGGAATACTATAAATACAATATAGAAGAAGGATTTTTAAATAATTTAAAAAATCAAGAGTGGCCTTTATGGTAAAAAACAAGTTATATTTGTTTCCATATGGCCAGGAAAAATGCCATACTGCTTATTCCCTTCAAATAATGTGTATATTTACTCAGCTTTTACATTGCTGGGATCATCTGCTGTTTTCACCTCTTCGCTCTTTAACCTTGCAGAATCCTATTAGCCCTTCTTGTGCTCCTGCTGGCCCTGCCAGCCCACAGCCCTACCTACCCCAGGCAGATTCTCACTGTATCTGCATGTGTTAGACCTCTCTGGAAAGCTGCAGGCAATGACTTCCTGCAGGAAGCTGGTCTTCTGCCAAGGAATTTTCCTGGGTATCCTTGAATATTCTTGCTCCTCTATGACTAAGGGTCCAGCTATTACCTTCCACCCCTGTATTATGGATACAAATGAAGGGTATAGAAGAAAAATAACAGCAAGCTAGTCCTGCTCCCTGCTCATGAAGAGGGTTCATGGACCCCAACCCAAATCAGTTGTGGCAGTATATGATTTCTGCTTGCTTGGTTTGATGTTCTGGTTTGGCTTTCCCATTCTTTAGGTTAAGGATAAAAAGCAAAAGATTATTCTGAATTATGAGGTAGATCAATTTGTACATTGCATTCAAATATCTCTTTTCTTATCTTTTCAAATGACCCCTATTTGGAATTGCTGTCTGCACCAGGCTTCTCCCAGTTCTTCCTTTTGGTTTGGTTTTTTTGGGTTTTTTTTTTTTTTTTTTTTGGTTGGTTTTTGTTTGGTTGGTTTGGGTTTGGGTCCATATTGAGCAGCTTCTCTTACTTAAAATCTCATATGCTTTCATCAGTACACAGCTGGTAAAGTTCCAACTTCATTTTTATTGGACTTGTATTTTAAGCTGATGATGTGGCTTTTTTATGTTTCATCCATCCCATCCTGCTCAAATTGAAATAACTTCTGCACATAAACTTGAAAGGGAGAGGGGTTGGCCCTCTACATTTGAAATCAAAGTTCTTATTTGTATATAATTCATCAAAAAAAAAAAAAAGTGACAGAGTAGATTATACAAATACAAAACAACCCAGCCATTAGTTCTACTAATTAAGATGGATTTTTTATTCTTAAAAATACTGGAGGTTAGAAAATATGCTTTAATATGGATAACAGCTGTACTGCAGAGCAATGATGTAAACAAAAAGAATCAGTAACTGCCTTCACGCAGTTTATTTCTATAGAGAAACCAAGTTCTGTGTGCCCATGTTGTTACCTTATCACATGGAGACAAAAGCTCCATGGGCTCCAGGGCTTTGGGGGACTGTTTTACAACCTCCTTTAAAATTAAAAAAAAAAAAGAAAAAGTGATAACCAGTGTCAAACAAGAGAGCCAGATCTGCAGTTGGTAAAAGCTTCCACTGCACTCGCTGGAATAAATCCTGATCCCCACTGAAGCCAGGGAGAGTTTTGCCATTGACTCCAGCAGAGCCAAGATTTTCTGCAGTGGATTCTCAGAGAGATTTAGACCAACTGAGGATGTGCCACATGGCACAGCAATGGGCCTGTTATCCTTCCACAGGAAAAATGGGTGCATGTTTGACCCTGAGGAGGTGTCCACAGCATGCCAACCACCACAGAGCCCAGAGGAGTGAAATTCAAGAAGAGTCCTTACATCCCTGCCATTACACCACTGCAGCAGAGAAATTCAGGGAGATATCCTCCTCAAAACTAATTCTCCATTTCCTAAACTGGGCTTCTTCTCACAGACAGATGAGGCTGTGATGTGGGTTTCCTTAGTGGGCATTGCCATGGCTGTGTCCATGCCTTCTATACATTTTACAATCAACTAGAAAAAAGTCAGCATCTAATGTATGGACTGCTGCATTAATTGTAGTCCACAACTCTCTAAATTAATTGGTGGGAATGAAGTCACACCATATTTATTTCACTGGAATGAAGGGAGAAGGACTAGATACTGCAACTGTGCTTGGATTGTTCAATCTGAGAGCATGGCTGTGCTCTGCCAGCCATGACTGCAGTCACACAGATGTGTGCCTTCACTGGATACAGGCATGCAGAAAGGAGAAAATGATGCTCTGTGTGTCCTGAATGAATGCCCACACTGAAGGAAAGGTGTTCTAGCAGCTGAAATACCTGAATTAGTTTCAAACTAGCCAGCAGAGGTATGAACAGCCTTGTAACTGAACTGATATGGGGCTCAGTACAGGCTGTGGATTTACAGATATGGGGCTCAGTACAGACTGTGGAGTATTATTGGATTTACAGATTTTCTAACCCACACCAAGTTTGTGCTATCTGTTCCTGTTCCAGCCAGGGTGCATCTGCAAAAACTGCAGCCAGACCTCCCCTTGGAGATGTTCTCACAACATTTAAGTTTGCTTAGGAAAATGAATAGATCCTAAGCTTAATCACCAGCACTGCTCTGAAGGTGTTCTAAACACATATAACTGCACATTGCAATGAGAAATATTCTGTATCTGGAATTTTTAAGATCTCTTGCTGGTTTCAAGGGAAAATCACTCTTTTCCTCTTATTAGTGGGGCTGTGAGGGGAGATGCTGGACTGCAGCACTGTGCCTTCTGCAAAGGGCACACCAACACCTAAGCAGGTAACTTTGAGTCTGCTTATGGTTCAAAGCAGTCCAAGCCCCCAGGTGAGAGATTCCCCAAAAGGGGAATTTTCATTCCCAACCTCCTGATGGGGAAGATGGTACCTGTCTGCAAAAGGACTGCATTTTTCCTGTGTTTCTCAAGCAGATGATTGTCTTTGCTCTCACCCTTGACTGCCATGCACACTTTTGGCTATGCAGTGTTATAAAGCTTAATAAAAAGGAAGAAAAATTAAAACAGCATGCCAGTTCATGTCCTTCACACTTGACATTTCCAGGCTTCATATTGTTTGAACCCTTTTGCCATTATGTGGCACTATGATGTACTACCTAGGGAAAAAAGGATGTGTTTAATGCTGATTTGGAAGCAGTGCAAGCTAAAGAGCAGTAATTAAGATTGGAACAGTCCTACCTTCCCCTCCCTTTATTTTAGTAGGGTAACAAAACAATCTATCACACAAAAAATAGACCAATGGAACTATTAATAAATGATCAAATTATTCAGCTCTTGCTAATAATTTCACTTCCACTTCTTTTTAAAGAAAGTGCCAAAGAAATGTTCTAAGATAAGTGAAGTGAAAATTAACCAAATTAAAGCAGTAATACCCAGGCCAGTCCCTTGGATTCTTGGAGTAAGAAATCAGGTAATATTACAGAAGATATTAATACCTTTAACTAAAATCCTGCCTTCAACAGAAAGCTGCTGATGAAGGTACAAAAGCAGGGCATCCCCTCTGCCTGTTCATCCTGAGCTTTCTCAGACCCAGCTCCTAAGCCCTTCCCAGACATGCTCAGTGTGCCCAGGCTCCTCAGGAGCCTTGGTGATTCTGCTGAGCCAGG